CCAAAAATAAAAATTAAAGAAATTATTAAGTTTATTGTACGAGAAATTGATGTTTTTGTCATATAAAGGAATTTCAGGTTAATCAAACAGATATTTGTATAAAAATTGATGGTATGTGTTTTACGTCCCCTTCAAGAATTTTTCACTCATATAGAGACGTCATCATATATCGGTGAAGGGCTTCAAATTTAGACCTATACTCGGCACTGAGGGTATTGAGCAGTAAGGGTTCTTGATCGTGCCAACGCCTGCAATGACACGGGATCACGGTTTTTAAGGTGTCATCCGAAAGACACACAACTCTGACCTAAAATTCCCAGTGCATGGCGAAGGAACAGCTGCTACCAAGTTTTTTTTTTATCGACTTAGGTCAGCCTCAGGTATAAACGTAAAATGGAATGTAACACACAAACACTAATAAGGATTTGTATGAAGAATGAACTCAGGAAGTATGAAAATTCTGATTTGTTTAATACAACTTTTCTCTAATTTGGCATGCATGCTCTTGAGAATCTTTGATTTATTCTGAGTCGCCAAAAATGACGATGGAAGATGGAAAATAAGACTTGTACTTTGTGCTTTTTTCATGACAGCATCTACTGCAACTAGGGGAGTCGGTTTAAATAAATTTCCGGTAGATTAAATTGAAACCTACGTTTTGTTTAGTCACAATACTTTTTTTGAATATCTGGCTTGTTTTTAAGACTGTTTACATTGAATATCTGGCTTGGTCTCATCTTTCACTTTTTATTCAGCCTTTTATAATACTTGTTTTCAGTTCTGATTCTCTCGTTGTTTCTAATATTTTAAACTATTACCCCCTTTTTGCCTTGACTCCATTTATTTTTGCATTGATAAATATCTCTCATTGCATTTGAAATTTTGGGAAGTTTAAAACTGCTAACCAAAATATAATACTCTGATTTTGTATCTTCGAGTCTGCTTTGAATGTTTCTGTCTCTAAGAGTTTGTTTGAAATAAACAAGAACATGTTCTACTTTAGAGTGCTCAGTTTTGGTAATTACATAATAAGTATCAGTTTTGGTATTTACATGATAAGTATTCTTTTCACTGATACTTTCTAAAGAATATTAATGAGTTAAGAAATCGATAAATCTATCTGACGTATCTTTCATTTGTATAGAAGCTAATGTTTATTTGCATGATTGATAGTTCTTTTCTGTTGAGAATTAGCTGCTTTCCCATTCATTGTTTCTTTCAAATGTGTAGAGTTGTGAAGTGTATGTTCTGATTTCTCATTAAGTTTCTAACTTGTGGCTGTCCATATTCTGATATGCTTGTCCTTACTTTGATTTTCAATGTTGCTGACATTGTGCATCCCAGGAATTTAACCATGCTCCCCTTCCATATATAAAAGGATTTGTTAACAGTTGTATTTTTTTTTACTTGAAAGCCACATTTATGAGACATAATAGCAAATAAATGACTGGTTAAATTTTTAGCACTTCTGAGCTAATGTTATGGCCATATATGTGCGGTGTGCGTAAACTTTTTAAAATATAGGCCATAACTCAAGAACCACTTGGCCAATTATTGTCAAATTTGTCACAGGATATCCTTGGCCCAAGGGCTCCCGTTTATACTAAAACTATGGTTGTGTCCCTTAAACAAGGGGAGATAATTAGGTAAATAAAACCAAAAGTACTGGTTGCTAAAAATCTTCTTCTCAAGAACCACTGAGCAGATTATCACGAAACTTACAAAAAAGGATAAGGATATGTTGTAGACTAAAACTTGCACGGGGAATCGCCCTGGGGCAAAGGGCGTGGTCTCAAGGTCACTTCAAAGTTGACCAAAAATTACATTTTATTAAAATGTTGATATTTTGCTTGATATAAGGACTAGGATCATCGAATCCTGTCAGTTGCTGCATCTAAGGACCACATATCACGTTGACTCAAAAGTAGGTCACGGTGACCTATTTTTTAAATTTTGCGGCTATTCTTTTGCAAAATGATTTAGAGGCATATTTTGAACAATTTAAGACCTATGATCATCAAACTGTTGATGTATCTTGGGTCCTCGGAGAATGCCAACTAAATAGTAGGTCACCTTGACCTATTTTTTGAATTTTATGGCTAAACTTTTTCAAAACATTTACGGTAAAAAATTCGAATACTGAGATTTTTAGAATCATTAAATCTTGTAAGATAATGCATCTTGTGGCAATAAAAATATTTATTCAAAAGTAGGTTACAGTGACCTACATTTTTAACTTCGCAGGAATTCGATTTCAAAGCGTTTTAGAGGCATATTTTGGACATTTTAAGGTCTATGATCATAAAACTTTGTAAGTTGACGGTTATAATTAAATATTTTAGATATTAATTGGCCCAGAATCATCAAACTTTTTCAGTTGTTGCATCTTGCGTCCTCGGAGTTCGTCAGCTGAAAAGTAGGTCAACATGACCTACTTTTGAAATTTTATGACTTTATATAAATATTTCAGGTACTATTTGGCTTAGAATCATCAAACGTAGTTGAAGCATATTGGGTCCTCAGAGAATAACAACTGATTAGTAGGTCACCATGACCTACTCTCAGGTACTAATTGGCTTAGAATCATCTTGGGTTCTCAGAGTGTGTTTTCTAAAATGCAGGTCATGATGAACTTCCTTTGGAATTTCAAGGCTTTATCTAAATAAATTATACAAGATACTAAGAGGCTTCAAATAGTGATAATTGTACAATTTATCAGAAGAGAAAATCAAGGCCCCTGGGCCTCTTGTTGGTATGAACATACCGCAACATTTTCATGTTTTTTAAAGCAAATTCCGGTTACATTAATATTCCGTAGATTGAAAAAGGTAAAAAATATCATACTTAACTCCGCAAAATAAAAAAAAAAAAAGAAACACTGCCAGTACGTTACTTAATAAAAATGTGTTAAGTATTTATTTGCAATTTATTTTAGTTTATGTTCCCAAGCAGCACAGTTAAGGCTGCAGTAAGGAGGCGGGGCCTAATTTATACGGCAAATGCTTACTATGACATCACACAAAAATATAAGTTCTTCAAATTACCACAAAATGAAATGATTTGCCATTTTAAACTGTTGAATAGCTTTAAACTACATCAATACTAACTAGTGCATGCATTATTGGCGTTAGTAAAATCCCACACAACAATATGTAAACAATTCACTGATTGCAATGCACTTGTCAATGTGACGTCATATCGTAAAATTTGACGCAGTTTGTATACAGTGAGAGGCGGATCAAGTTATATTTCTACCATGAAAAATGTATTTTGTAATCAAATAAAAATAAATTGTAGATATATAAGAGGCCATGAACTTGGATGCGATGTCTATTTTATGATTTTATTCATATACTTCCCGTACATTCCCTAGACAAGCGATACTGTCGTATATTTGTATGCAGATTCATTGAAGGGTAAAAGAAGGGTAATAATAAATCGATATATTGCAAGGGCATACCCTCAATGAACTATGACAAGCTTTTACACATAAACTCAAGAAGTATGAAGATTTTTGAAAAGTGCTGCGAACCTGTTGAAATTTTGCAAATGAGTTAATTATATCTATATTTCATGTACTTGACCAGCAAAATATTCAACATACGGTCTAATAAATGTAATTTTAGCAATTAGATAGTAGAATCTATATAGGTTCGCAGCACTTTTCACAAACTACAAAGAGTGTTGAAAATAATTATATGTTAAACTTAGAATTTTAACTTGGTTATGCCCTTGCAATATTAGAATTTATAGATGACCTCAATACTTCAGGTATATTTGCTAAAATCACGTGACTGCCACATCACGTGACAAGTCTAAAAAAGAAATCTAATCATTATCAACACGTAGTCCGATAATATTGAAGTCCTAAAAAGAAACGACCATCCTTGTAAAGAATGTATTTTCTTTCTAAAAAATTCGCCGATATTTCCATTTGGCACCTTAACTGTACTGCGCAATTATATGTTTTTCTCATTGTTTATTTCCGATTCTAAGGATTTTGGCCGCATTCATAAAGCAATACTAATATTGATCTTAACCTCTATCTTTCTTTATGCTACAACTCGTTCGGGTTTTTGACAGTTGTTTCAACAGAGTGTACTTTGTTCTTTACTCTTTAAAGACCACTTTTGTGTTGGTTTATCTGGCATAAATCATGAAGCTTTTTTATTTTGGAGATTTTAAGTAGTCGTCGCTTTTTCTCCCACTCCCCCTTCTCCCAAAGCAAGGAACTGGAAGCAAGTTACAAATGTTGCAGTGAAAGTTGTCAGTGTGCGGCAGTGGTTAAAGCAAAGGCCCCGATTGATTCCAGAGTCGCAGATAAATTAAAGATGTTCATTATCAAGTCATGAGTACAATCCCATCAAAGGAAATGTAGACCTGCCCTTCTGACCAGACCGTATGAATAAAAGCTCCTTGTCTCAAAGTAAATGAGTGCACGAAAAAAACCTCCACTGCTGAATGACCTTAAGTGATGAATACATATCTGAATTTGGCCTTCCTTTGTATTACTCGGGTAAATACAACCCAGACGCTTTGCTTTGTGTAATCATTTAGATTGACTTTTTCCTTTTTGTTTTGTTTTTGTTTTGTTAACAAACTTTCATTTTGTTGAAAATCAAATATACCCTAGAAAGTGTACATATCATTACATGTATACGATAAACTTTTTTCTTCTAAATAGAAAAACTCCATCAGTAATCTCATTTGTCTTAATACTCCCCCCTGCTGAGACTGACAATGTTTATGTATTGTTTATATCATGGTAAACTAAGTGAGGACTAAGCCCTGCTCATTATGTATATTAACCCCTTCTGCTGGGGTTACTAGTATTCTGGGACAAATGGGGCTGCTGGGGCTGATATGACCCAAATATCAGTCCGAGGGACTGCTCTGGGTCTTCTCTCAGGTTTGTCTCGTTGAACTGTTTATTGCTTCGCTGAATAAAATCTATATTTTCAAGATACTTTCAAGCTTATATGTAATTTATTTCATTTCAGAAGCTTGCTGTCCTTCCGAATGAGACCAATTACATCATGCATTTACGATTCAGCGCCCAGTGTAAAGTACAACAGTGTTCTCAATGTCAGCGAGACACAGAATTTTACTGTAAATCATGTAAATTTGATCTGTGTCTGCGATGTAAAGAAATCCATGTTATAGATCTGTGTACCATGTACCATGATGTTGTGATTTACCGTGAGAAATATGAATACATTCCAAAACAAGACATCTGTATGAGACATCCAAACAGAGTCTGTGAAATGTTCTGTCACTCATGTCAACTTCCTGTTTGTTTCCAATGTACGGAACACAGAAAACACCAAATATTGGACATTAGATCGGCATATAAAGCAAACCGTCAACAATACAGAGATATCATTCACAAAATCAGAAGTGAGACAATCTACAACAGCTGTTTTCTCTTAGCAGGAATTAAAACTGATTTAAAATCTTGTAACACAAAGATCTCCAACCTTCAATCAGGGATGTCAACAAAAGCCCAGAGACTAAAGGACCTCATTGACACTGTGATATGTGATGTTAAAATTAGACACAAAACCCTTATTCATAGACTACAACAACAGAAGAGAAACCTTGCTATCATAGAGAACTTTGAAGACAAATTTGAACAGTCACTAAGCAGACCTGTAAATTTTCTCCTGTTCCTAAAAAAGCCTCGAGTTCCAAGGATGAAGGACTCTCCAAATCTTACACAACACCGCATACTCTCTCTGGAGGAAATCAACATGGACGACGTGATGAAGCTATTGAGTGAAATCAAAACAATAGAGATAGGAAAAAGACAAGTAAAAAATGAATCTCTACTGCAAATGATTTCTAAGCCCATGTTACACAGATCTGTCACAGTGAAAGGTGTAAGTAGTGTAACACACATTTCCTCTTTGACGCCAGACCGGATATGGATTAGTGATGGTAGGAATCTCATCTTGACAAACTCAAAGGGTGACACACTGCATCATTTGACAGATATAAATAGTATATGGGGAGTACACACAGTGAACATGACTTGTGATCTTATTTATATAGACAGTGATGGTAACATAAACAAAATATCCAAAGATAACAACACAAAATCATCTCTAATTAAGACAACAAATCAGGATAGGCCATGCTGTGTCTATAGCTGCCCCTCCAATGGGGATCTACTGGTCGGGAAGCGTAGTAAGGTTACAAGGTATAATGAAACAGGGCAGCACATCCAGACAATAAGATATGACAACAAAGGTCAGCAAATGTATAGATGGCCTAGATTCATGACGGAGAACAACAATGGAGATGTTATTGTGTCTGATTTACGTGGTATTGTAGTGGTGACGGAACGTGGAGGAAAACATCGCTTCTCCTACACAGGACATCCTTCAGAATCAAGACTATATCCACAAGGAATCTGTACTGACGCACTGTCACACATCCTGGTGTGTGATGGTTACACCGACTCAGTACACCTGATTGACAAGGACGGTAACTTCCTGTCACTGACACTGTCATTACAACCATGGGTATACCGACCACACAGCCTGAGTTATGATGAAAAAAGTCATCTTTTCTTGGTTGGATTATGGAACAACAACAGATTGTGTATATTCAGTTATGTAGAGAGAAAGAAATATATAAAAGGTCATTCTATTTAGTATTGTAATGCATCTACACACAAATACAGACACATGAATATCTGTAGTTGTAAATAGGTATAAGACACATATATGGGAGTAATTATGAGGTGATTGAATAGACATGTATAAAAACACAGGATTATATGACGGTTCATTGTAATTAGCTAATTAGATACATGTACACATAGATACGAACTATCTTACAGTTCATTATAATTAGTTAGTTAGATATATGATTGCATACATACAGACTCTCGAGTATCTGCAGAATTACCGATCCTTTTGAAACATATAAACATATATAGATATACATTTTCTTAATGTTCTTAATGTTTCCTGAAGTTAAAAAAGCTTAGAAATTGATGTTAAAATCATCTACTTTTAAAAATATACTAAAGATACCTTTTCAAAAATCTTTAGAATCTTTAAGAAGAACACAGGGTCCAGGAAGTCAAAATCCTCAACAAGAAGACAACTTTGAAAAATGCCTTGTACAGTGAAATGGAAAAATATACACGTAAGAAAAAAAACTAATTCAAAATAGACTAAAAAATAAAAAAAAAATTAGGAGAAAAAATGTTCATACTTTAAAAAATACTTAAAAACTTGTGACTATCTATATCTTTTTTGCAGGTTGATTGGATACATCCATATTGGGGATTGTAGATGATGGATCTTTTGTATCGTAAATCACTGTAATATTTCAGGAAGTTTTTTCTCCTTTATCTGAGATTATTTTATTTTGAAATAAACACTGTAAGACGCATTAATACTTTGATTCTCACAAAGCAAGGAAGTGGATCCATTTGAATGTGATGGGAATAGAGAATTCAGATTCAGTGGTTTTGAAGTTACATTCCATTACAATTTATATAGAACATAGCTTCCATATCACTAGCTATCATGGATAGCGTTGATCACTTTCTTTGAGATCTTTATTTTCGTTATCTTTACATTTTTTAATTCATTTTTTTATTTTGTAAGTAATTGATTAAGCTGCAATTGCTTTGGATTTGAAACAAAAATAAAATACAAGCTGTTTACATCCACCATTTTAAGTAATCGATTACATTAAATGTTCTCTTAAATCCAGAATACTTCCATTCACTCTTGATTACTTAAAAGCATTTTTAAGTTAAATGTTTAATGTTTAGGTAAAGAAACCAGATTGTTAACAGGAACTTTATTTTGAAATCAAGAATCATTTACACAATCGAATTTTCATTGCATTTAAGCTTTATGGTAATATGGTAAGTTTTTTAAAAATATAAAATAAATGAGTTCTTTACAACAAATTTTATTGTTATCTGAAACTCGATTAAAATTAAGTATGGAAGGACTAACAAGCAAACGTCCATACGAGTTACGTTTGTCTACTGATTAAAGGTGATTAGATAATAAACAAGACTTTATCATTTTTGTACTTTAAAATTGAAAGAAATACATGTATTTTTCAAATAATTATTCATGAAATAAAAATAAATTAAGTTCAAATTATACAGATCTTTTGTCTTGCTCATGCTTTTTATATGCTCCAGTCATTTTAATTTAAACCTTAATTATGCATATAATGTATGGATTATAAAATGTACCTATCTGGATAAATTTTGCATTGAAGAATTTTTGGTAATAACCAAGTTAATTTCTTCAAGGTTTGGGACTGTGCAATCTAAAGAGGAAACCTATTTCTGTAGAAAAAAATACCATCGTAGATTAAAATAAATCGTTGATAACCCTAAAACATAGCCATTAATATTTTTAATTCTAACAGGATTTTTTCAAAGTATGAAGTTTTCTTTCTTTTTTAATTAAATGAAAGATGCTTGACAACCTGAAGAATTTACCCAAAATAACTTTTGTTTACAACATACCTGTACCTATTTTATGGTCATGACAAGGAGCAGACGGCGGGTGTGACCGGTCGGCAGGGGATGCTCACTCCTCCATGGCACCTTATCCCACCTCTAATGTTTGGAGGTCCGTGTTTGCTCTGCTCCTATTTTGTATTGTATAATGGACTTTTGAGCTTGAATACTGTTTGTTATCTCCATATATTTCATTTTAACCACCGAACATGTATCTATGCTGGTGGACAGTCTGTCCCCGAGGATACTTGTCGTTCGGTACCTATTCATTCATGAGTACACAGAATAACGAAATGATACTGGCAGACGCGTCGCCCAGTATAAAAAGGCGTCACTCTTTTGAGTCTATAAGGGACACAGACTCAAGAAGTTCATTCGGTGCCCCTCGGATAATCCTCAGTGATATTAAACATATGTCATATGTACAGTCTTCAGATTCCCAGTTTTGGTATAAAACCAATAGTTCATACAAACAATTGAAAGAATGTTAAGTTTCTATTAGAGATATATTCGAAGACTCCTTTTCCGATCCCATGTCTTCGATTTCAAAATGTTCTGCGAAAAACTGTAAAACCTGTGACATTTTGATAACTAACACTTCTTTCACCAGTAATCTTACTGGACAGTGCTTCTGTACCAAAACTTGGGAAAATCTGAACTGCAAATCTTCTAATGTTGTCTACGGAATAGAATGTAATCTTTGTGGACTTGTTTATGTTGGTGAAACCAAGGGATCACTCAATAAAAGAACATCAGGTCATAGATTTCAGATAAATAATGGGGGTCAGCAACTTTTATACAAACATTTTAATTTACCTGATCATTCTATTTTGTCAATGAAAGTTAGAATTCTGGAAAAGATTTACCACCACACAAACAGTCCATCACTGAGTACACCTTTCCGTAGACAACGAGAAGAATTTTGGATAAGAAAGCTAGGGACAACCTTTCCCTATAGATGTAATGACAATGTCGATAGTGTTGGAAATCTTTCCAGTCCACAGTGTAACAATGTAAATGTGATGGGACTTTTTAACCATACACAGACTACGTAAGCGTAGTCATGGGCATCGGTCTTACAATAAACCTTTAATACACGATGTCTCTTTTGATTCATTACTACCTTACGTAAATCAACAGTTAGGTGTACATCATATTCGCACCAAACTTTACTCTGTCCCTTTTGAAACTTTTAAATAGTCTTCTTGAAAAGGTCAAGGAAAGTCCATTTTTTGATTCCTCGACATCAGAATATAGGCTCGGATCTGTAGTTATGGATATTGCCAATCATAGGCTTTTTAAACCCCCGCGTTTTACTGAAGAAAATGCAGCTAAAACAATCCGTTTTTTCCTTAAACTTCAATATACCAACAAAGGAAGTGACGCGGTTAATATAAGTAATATTCTTAATCACAAAAGGGTCCAGTCTTGTATTCCACCATATTTCAAGTTAAAGACTACACCTTGTATTTCCTACAAATATACATCGACTATTGCTTCCAAACTTTTTAATTACAAGAAAAATTTACAGGGCCTGGATATCGAATATCTGAAACATAATCCTCCATCGTGTTCATGTTCTTCTTCGCCCTATAACTATAGTCCTGCTGGACACGTTATTACTGGTGACGTAAATATAGTTAATAATGAGGACCTTAGATTACTAATTTTAAAAGGTCCTAAATTTAGGGAAACAAGATCCTTCAACTGGCGTAAGAATTTCATAAATATTATGGATTCTGTAGAGGACTACGCCAGGCGATGGGCCAGACATGAAAAAGAAGACCTTGACACTTTGTCAGAATTGATTAAATGTATCAGATGTATGTTAAAATCGCGCATTAAAAGATTGAGAGGCAATATGAAAACCATCTATCCTTCTGTATTCAATAATCCAGAAGTGAAAAAAGAATTAGATAGATTACATGATCAGTACGTACTGGTCCCTGCTGACAAAGCAGGTAACAACATTGTCTTTGTTTGTAAGGCTTATTATATTAAATGTATTTTAGAGGAACTTGGATTTAATTCTACAAGTGGTAATCCAACTTATACTCATAGTTCCCTTTCTACGGAAGAAATTCTTCAAAATCATATGTCAGTTTTGAATATTTTTAATATTCCAAACAACTAAAATGAATTCGAATTACCATATTTATATTGGATTCCGAAACTTCATAAAAATCCTTACAAACAAAGATACATAGCGGGTTCCAGTAAATGTTCAACCAAGCCTCTATCTTTACTCCTCACTAAGATATTAACAGTGGTGAAAGAGAAACTTCAAGAGTACTGTGCAACAATATATTCGAGAAGTGGTGTAAATCAGATGTGGATACTTAAAAATTCCAAGGAACTTTTGGAAAATTTGAAATCACAAGATTTTACCAAAATCAACAGCTTAAAAACTTACGACTTTTCAACTTTATCCACAACCATTCCCCACGATAAATTAAAGTCCAGGCTTTTTGATATCATTGACAGCTGCTTTTTCAATAAAAATGGAACTCGTAAATATACTTACCTTGTCATTGGTCATTTGCAAAATTATTTTGTTAAAAAACATTCTGATTGTACACACAAGTACTCTGAAGTTGACATTAAAAAGATGCTTGAGTTTCTGATTGACAATATCTATGTGGTTTTTGGAGACCAGGTCTTCCAACAATCTATTGGAATTCCTATGGGTACCAATTGCGCCCCGTTGTTAGCAGACCTTTTTTTGTATTCATATGAAGCAGAATTTGTCCAAAATCTTGTACGTGAAAAGAAGAAAACACTTGCTGTGGCGTTCAGCTCGACATTTAGATATATCGACGACGTATTGTCAATTAACAATGGCTATTTTCATTCTTATGTCGATACAATATATCCTGGTGAACTTGAGATAAAAGATACCACAGAGTCTGACACATCTGTTTCATATTTGGATATTTTACTTGAAAAAGACGTTAATGGTAATCTAACAACCAAGCTTTATGAAAAACGTGATGACTTTAACTTTTCAATCGTCAACTTCCCTTACTTATGCAGCAATATACCTTCATCACCTGCATATGGGGTATATATCTCTTAGTTGATTCGATACGCAAGAGAATGCTCTACGTATGTAGAATTTCTAAAACGAGGTAAATTATTGACAAATAAGTTGAT